CTGTGGTCCCCGGGCGTCAGGAGATGTCCCTCGGCACTGGGAGCTGGTATTGCCACCGCTCATCGGCAGGAATGTCACTCGCTGTCACATTTCTTCAGGAGCAGAGAAGGAAGGCGGGCAGGAAGATTAACTCGAGAGCTTGTATGGAGTCATTTAATAAATATGGGCACAGATGTGAAAAAAAGGAGAAATTTTATTTCCCTCTTAGGCAGCACAGAAATAGGCTGTTTGTTCAGCCCAAACAACCTATTTTGTTTTTCAAATACAATTGGAAGAATTTTAAATATAATTGAAATACCTTGTGTGACTCATCTGTCTCTTAACCGAGCAGACCACGCGGCTGTTTACCAGGGTTTCCTGGTACTTTCAGAAAGCTCAGGCTAAACCCGATGGCTTCCCTCTGAGATGAACCTCAAATCAATCACTGAGATGAACTCCAAATAAAAACAACCTGTTCCCAATACTTCTCTAATTAATGGATGCTGCTAAGCCAGCAGAATCTGTCCTGGTGCCTGTAATTTCCCCTAAAAGCATTAAGCAGATGGAAATACGGCGAGTCTCCGGGAGGGCTGGAGCGTGATCAGGAGAGCAGCTCATGAGGTTTTTACATACGGGTACGATGTTCTGTCACCTGCAGCTCAGCAACCAGCCCCTCTGCCCCCAGCCTACGGGCCCAGGGGTGGGCTTTGGTCCCTCAGCCCGGGCTGGGGCGTTCCAAGTGCTACTCTGAGCTCTGGAGCTCGTTGCTAGACATCAAGTTCCTTGCCTGTGATTTGCCACCTCAAGGCAGAGTTTTGCTTTTCTTTGCCAATAATACCAGCTGAAAGGAAAAAAAAAAGATATTATTTCTATTTGGGCAAACTCTGAATGGTGGGTTGAAGCTTTGCCCACCCAAATGCTACAGACTCCTCTGCTTGGGTGAAAACCAGCACACCCCCAAAACCTCTTTGCCTTGAAGAGCCCAATAAAAATGTGTCAGCCTCACTGTGGGCTGCTTTGCTTTCCCCCCTACAGCTCCTGGATTAAAGTCTCCTTCTGCTTTCCTTGCAGCTGGTTTATAGAGACCGGGTGCCAGAGGAGGGGCTGGACAGGGTGCCTTGGTCACAGCCTACATCCCCTGCCTTGTTGCACGGAGAGGGAACAAATGGATATTTAAACCACTCCATGCACTCCCTGAGGCTGGTGGAAGTTAGTGCAGCTTTATGGTCCCAAGCAGTGGCTCCTTTTGGTGAGGAGAGTTAATCTGACACACCTTAGGAGATACCTGCTGGCTTTTAACGTGGAAAGGCTGAAAGAGCCCGGACACCCAACAAGCGCAAGAAAGAGAAATGACTGATGCTCTCCCAGCAGTGGCTGCTACAGGATGACAACACGAAATGTTCAGGGTCACAAGCAAAAACAGGATGTGGGCGACAGGCGGGCTCTGTGGGGCTGCTGCGCATCAATGTGCCGCAGCCTTCCGAGGCCAGGAAGGAGCTCACAGCAAACCAAACAGCTCAAAGAGCGAAACAGATGAGAAAGCTCTTTGAAAATGGCATTTCTCCTCACAGAGAGTGACCTGGAAGGGTCCCTGCTCTGCCCTGGCAGCTGGGGCAGAAGGAGGGTGGACGACAAGATCAGCCGAGGGGTCACCTCTTCCCTTCTTATCCCCGTGGGTGAAGGGGCCAACACAAGGTTACTGCAGAAAGAAGTGTGCCTGCTCTGAAGAATGCAATTTGCTTTTAAACTTAAAACTTTAATTAAATTTCTGGAATGCTACTGAGCCTGACCTTTTAAGGGCTCTTAACGGAGTCTCACCCGGTGCCCAGTTCTCTAGGGAACCCTCCCTCAACTCAGGACTCTGCATCACGTACGGGCAAGAGATGGCTGTGGCGCTTGGACCCCAGGGTAGCAGTAAACAGGCAGAAAGCCCTTTTGAAGTGAGGGGAATATTTATTCAGGTCCTAAAACTTTTGGCTTCATTTAGCATGGCACAGAGTGAGCCGAGGCATCTCCAACGCAAGAGCAGGGCTCTCAGCTCTGCCTCGGCAGGTTAGAGGTCCAGCCCTGGAAGCTGCTGAAATACATGAGGAATTCCCACATTCCTCTGCCTGGACCACGTTTCTGTGTGTTCTGGGTTCTGCTCCATTCCGGTGGTGCTCAGAGCGGATGGCTTGTCCCCTCAGTGGCTACTTTTCTGCATGCTCGTGGGAGTTGGCTGTTTCTGCCCTCCCCTGTGCCGTTCTGCTCCGCAGGTTTCTGCTTTCATAGCCAATATTTCCATTCTCATGCAGCTGTTTTCGAAGTTTCCATGTGCAGCAGCTGGTAGCACTGAAGAGAAGATCTTGAAATGTGGTTATCTCGGGTCGCGGGGTTTGTCCTGCCGCTGCGAGGCAAAAGGGAAACACAACTCAACACATGTATAAAGCCAAGAGTTTATTGCTGTGTTCTCAGCACAGACCAGCTGCATAAAGTTGTGGTTGTGCCATCGGCAGAGCCCCGGTGGCGCCAGCGGGCGGGGGGACAGGGAGGGAGAGCAGAGTGACACTGGCAATGCTCCTGGATTAATTCCGTAAAGCTTGGCTCCTTCGGAGTGGGCTTTCTCTCTGTTTAAAAACTTGAAGAAGCAGAAATCGCACCACCTCAGGTCTGTGTGAACGAAATGGTTTCCCAGCCTCGAGAGCTGGTTGTGCCCAGGCTTTTTTATGAAGACCTGCCTGCAGCAGGACACACCTGCGGCTACTTTTTCCTTTCCCCAGCTGTGAACTCCTGCCGGCTTAATGCCACCGCTGGGGATGCTGCAGCATCCGAGCAGCCTCCACCACTGCTGCTGACCTGGGGGTGACTGGCAGGGACAGGCCAGGGAGAACAACCTGTGTGGGCAAACACCTGCTGACTGCTCTGCCCCCTCCAGCCATCCCGCCCGGCTCCTCACACTGTTTGCCCGGCACCCGCCTGTTTTTAACACCGTCAAAACCTGAATTACTCTGCACGTGCCCATAGTTTGTGACTAGCGTCCACTCCTGGTTTTCAGAAGCAGCACATGGCTCCACCTGCCGGTCCCCTTCCTGAAGCCAAGCCCAGCACAGCCACTGCGACATCGCCCATCGCCACGGACACGTGAGCGCTGGCTGGTGCCTGACATAGCTCTGCCACCTGCCCATGCTTCTGCCTTTCCTTCCAGTCCTCTGCTGGGTGAACAGGTAAAATCCCGAAGTTTTCTACAGAATAGGAATCCCAAGATGCAGAGGTTTTTTTTTTTTTGTTTGGCTGGTTTATGCATGAATTTTGGGTCAGTTTTTTTGTTTTTTTAAACATAAGATATTTATCTTACTCACAAAATGTTTTACTCTGAGTGTCCAAGCGAGATGTAATCCCTTCTGGCTGTGCGCAGCGGTGGGAGGGTTTGTCTCCAGCACCACCACACCTGTTGTCCTGCCCAGTTTTTGGGGGACGTTGCAGCTCCCATGGTGAGCCCGGGTGACACAGCTTCTGCTCCAGAGCTGCTCCGGTGCCGGAGTTTCCCCTGCAGCCAGACAAGTGTGCTCAGGCTGCTCCTGAAAACGGGGACCAGAGCAGAAATTGAGGAGCAGGGAGGAGCCCACAGAGCTCTGCAAACCCCCTGTGAACAGCACCCAACCCCCTGCCTGGGCGGCCTCTTCCTGTTCCAGGAACGAACTGGAGCTGCGCGGCGGTAACGATTCACCTCACCGACTTTCAAATCCCCGTTGTGCCCCAGTGCCTCTGAAATCCCAGGTGCTATTTCTGAAATTTTAGCAGAAGATGGCTCGAATGGAAATTTCCCACCTTAAAGGTCACAGGGAAAATAATTTATAACAGATTCATGCAAATTGTGCTTTGACCACGAGGCGCTCGTTTGGGAAAATATGAGTTGTTGAGGATCGGTTGTGCAGCCAACAGATGGCACCAGGAAATGCCTAAATGGATTTCAAAACCTTTTTGCAAGCAAGAGGTGGGGCAGGCAGGTTCCTGGGGTGACAGGGACAAGACATGTCCTGGGTCTGCAGAGCTCCTCACTTGTCAAACCCGGTGCCACGTTTTCAGCTTCAGGTTGTTTCAAATTGGAAGCCTCACCAGGAGCTGCATGATGCTTTGGCCTTGGTGTGGGATCTGCACTGAGCGGGGTGCCTGGTAAATGAGAAATCATCCACAGGGCCCTTTGGATTGTCTGAGGGATGTGGAAATAGCTTGGCAAGAACAGAAAATTACCTTCTCTATCTACACTGTTGGAGACTGTCCTCAGGTGCCTCAGTCACTTGAGGCCCCAGAGGAAGTCAGGATAAAGGAGGAGTTTGCCCTGGTTGAGGAGGACTGGTTTAGGGATCAGCTGGAACACCTGAACATCCATAAATCCATGGGCCCTGATGGGATGCACCTGCGGGTGCTGAGGGAG